GTAGGCAACATGGTTGCTCGCAGCTCCACTATCAAGTACCCAAAGAACCTCATTGCTGCAACCATATAACTTTCCATCCAACTTCCATCGTCATGAAGCAACAGCCCCAAAATCAAGACTGAGAAGTAGCAAACACTGACCACCGCATCACCATTTTCATCCATTGCCATTCTTTTCCTTGCTGCCTTTATTTGGTTTTGTTTATCCTTTCCACTTGTACCAGTACCGCTTTGATATGCCCAGATTTACCCACAATAATGCACATTCACCAGGCTCTTATCAACCTTGGGACTCTTGACTTACTCCTACTCTTTGCCTTACTTACTGTTGTCGATCATGACTTTCTTACCTCTTCTTCTCCCCCTGCTTCTTTCAGTAACCAAACATATCTGACTGCTTTGACTGTGGGAAGCGCCCTGCAGTTCTCCTTCCCTTACTTCTTTCATTCAGCAACACCCACTTCTTCACATACTGCATAGTTTAACCAACACCATCAGGAGCAGAATTTGTTCAAAAGATACCCTAAAGTCTTTCCCAAGACGTCAAGGAAGTCGATTTCAACAACCAGGAAGTCCTCCAATAACTGCTCCTTCATTCATCAAACTTGACACCCATAATTGGACTAACTGCATCAAGATACCTAAATTCATTTACATGGTCAACGTAGTCAGCTTGAGCGACTCCCGTTCTTATGTACATCTGCTCAGGCGTAATGCTGCATTGCTTAAGTACAGACACACAACTTGTTTTGTTACCAGTTTCTTAGAAGCATACAAAGGAATTCTAGCTTTTTCCACAAAGTTTTTGGCATTTGTATCATACAAACAATATTGGATTATATACATTATCCTCAACCCATTGGACCTCAAGAAACCACATACTTGCTGATGCTTCAAAACTCCCATCTCTCATCAGACTTAAGACTCAGGCTACTAGTAGGCAAATACCAGGCAACATGTCAGCTTTCCATTTAAAAACAACAAGGTCTTTCATCTTTCCTTTCCAAGGTGATAGTTTTTGTGCCATCCCAAACAAATCATTTCTACTTCATATCACCTCCCATCAATTCAAACAAGAACAAAAAAATGCGTCAAATCAACAAAACATTAACTTGCCAGCTCTGCATACACTAGTGATGCGGGAATTAACACAAAACCATCTGACCCTCACAACAAAAACTTTCCCCCACTTGACATGACTATCTATTAGGCCAGTAACAATGAAGCAACAAATTTCAAGCAACACAAGCTGTCCCCAAACTCATACACACATCAAAAAATACACATTCACCACACTGAACACAAATTCTTTTTACGTCGGAAAACTCCTCCGGTGCTGAAGCGAAAAAACCCCACGGCGACCTCTCCTCCGGTCCAACGCGCAAAATAAAAGTTTCACTACTCACACAATATTGTCTCTACAACTTTACAGCCAAGCTACCAACCATCAAAAATATTGTAGCTTATACCACAAGACAAAACCACCAAATAAATGTGTGGGAACACAATAGAGTGATCACAAAAACACAGCTGCATCGTTCTCAATTACATTTAAAAATGTTTCTTACTCCATCCGAAATAATTAAACTGATCAGCCAGAATCAAGAGTTGGGATGTTAGGAAACAAGCTCACCAAAAATCGCACTCAACGACAAAGGATCGACTGCCGAAAACGCTGAAAGAAGATTTGAAGCTAATGCAGAGCTAGAAGCAGAACAGGACAGCTTCGGAATTTCAGACCAGAACCTCAATCTCTGAACCTCTCAAATGAAAATCCCTACCGGTGCAGGAATCAAGAAACACAAAGAGAGCCAAAGTAAAACATATCCAAAAATCCACAACGATCCAACGGTTGAAAACTCCAGCGAATCTCCAGAACCACGGGTCGGCCTGGTGCTGGATGGGGCTGTGCAGAAAAAACCCTCTCCTCTCCTCTGTTTTTTCTTCACACGATTTCTGGTTGTGTGTCTGAATCAAATGAGAGCCAAAACATCATTAGGGAATATGGCTATTTAGTGAGGGGGCATTAATTGTTAAACACAATCAATTTAGTTAGTGGACTTCAAAATATTCGGCGCCTTTTACCAACATAGGAAGGGAACAGTTGAGGGGCATAATTGTAAAACAATAATTAGTTAGTGGACTTCAAAATATGGGCTTTTACCACATAGGAAGGGAACCCAAACCCAACACCAGATGGGTAGGAACAAGAAGGCCATTTTTGCTTATGTGAAGGATAAAATCTGGAGGCTAATTTTCGGCTGGAAAAAGCTATTCTTATCTCGAGCCGGAAAAGAAGTTTTGATAAAATCTGTTTTACAGGCCATTCCAACGTATGTAATGGGTATTTTCCGGTTGCCCTCATCTCTGTAGGTCAGAAATCCAAAGAATGATGAACAAGTGCTTTTGGGAAAATGATAATGATCGGGGAGGAATGGTCTGAAAGGGATGCGAATTGCTATGTTGTTCTAAATTGTCTGGAGGCTTGAATTTGCGTAAAATGCAAGATTTTAACATAGCACTGCTGGGGAAGCAAATCTTGCGAATGCTCATTTATCCGGATTCTCTGGTGACCAAATTGTTCAAGGCAAGGTACTGTCCTGATTCCTCTGTTCTTGACTCAAGAAAGGGATCTAACCCCAGTAGCGTTTGGAGTAGTATTCATGCAGTAATTCCATTCATCAAGGACAGAATTGTGAAGAAAGTAGGTAATGGCAGTTCCATCTCTATTTGGGAGGATGCATGGCTTCTAGATGTAGAGCATCCAAGAATAACAAGTACTGTTCCAGCGAGCTGCAGCTATCATTATGTCTATTCTCTCATATTAGAGAATGGGACTACATGGAAAAGAGAGGTAATTTCTAATCTCTTTGGGGACCGAGATGTTCAACAAATTCTAGCAATTCCTTTGAGTGCTGATAATAAAGAAGATGGTTGGCTATGGTTGGAAGATAAAAGTGGAAGTTACACTATGCGAAGCGCACACAGGCATATTACCAGAGGAAAGGAATCAATAACACCGGCGGAGATGAAACCTTTTTGGCATATTTTGTGGGGGCTCAACATTCCTCCAAAAATTAAAAATCTGATTTGGAGGATTGGTAATGAATGCTTGCCTGTCCAGTCACGCTTATGAGCCCGGAGAATGGAGGTAGATGACCACTGCCCTGTTTGCGGTCTCCCTTCTGAAACTTTCTTGCATCTTCTAGCTGACTGTGTTTTTGCGCGAGCCTGTTGGGCTTGTTCAGTCCTAGGAATAGTAGATATTTATGATTTGTATCCTGAGATTACTTTGCAAGATTGGCTTTTGAAAGCAGTAAGAATGCTGACAGAACCGAACTTGCAGCTATTTTGCCTGTCTTTGTGGGTAATATGGCAGAACAAAAACCGTGTATTATGCAGAGCATATCAACTGCAGTTCAGGTGCAGGTAGCGTCAGCAAAGGCATGCCAGGAGTCCTGGCGTAAACCTCAGTTGAACACTGTCACACAATCAGCAAACAATGTGTCTGGGTCTCTCAGCTAGACACTCCCCCCGCCTAGGAGTTCCTGGGCGTAAAAACCTCAGTTGAACACCTGTCCACACAATCAGCAAAACACATGTGTCTGGGTCCTCTCAGCTAGACACCTCCCCCCCCCCCCCCCCCCCCCCACCCCCCCCCCCCAAAAAAAAAAAAAAAACAAATCTGATGACTTTCTCAAATGCAATTTTGCATGCCTCAATGGTGTCCTAACATCAATCAAATGGAGCTGGTGGGCCGTTTAAGGAGAATTCTTGCGCAAGCCATATGTAATTTGCATGTGCGAAAAGCCTTTTACCGCAGGCCAACACGGATCCACCAACTCAGCCCCCAAAAAAAAAAACAAATCTGATGACTTTCTCAAATGCAATTGATGCCTCATGGTGTCCTAACATCAATCAAATGGGAGCTGGTTGGGCGTTTAGAAATTCTGCAAGCCATATGTAATTTGCATGTGAAAAGCTTTTACCGAGGCCAACGGATCCACAACTAGCAGAAGTTATACCCTTTAGGGAGGCACTGAGTTGGGTTAAAAACAAGGGACTTGAAAAGGTGGTCTTTGAAACTGGTTGCTTATCTCTGACTCAAGCCATGCAGAAACCTTACTTAGATAACTCTTATTTTAGTAGTATTATTTTTAATTGTCAAAAGTCTCTTAAAGAATTAGCGAATAGTTCAATTTGTTTTGTGAAACGGTCAGCAAATGGTGTTGCCCGCTTGCTAGCGATAAATGCGTCTGACCGGAAAGAGTGAAGTCCTGTCTATCCTAGTTTAATTATTAATGTTTTGTATGCAGATTTCCAATACTGGAATAAAAAATAGACATGAACATAGTTTTAAAACTGTCTGCTTCAATTTTATCACCGCCAGTTTCAATTATAAAAGAAATGGAATGGAAACCAAACTGCTTAAAATGCGATTTCTAAGACAATTCTGGAACTGCAGGCTTTAATTTTATTCAGATTTTGAACCACGATTAGATAACATATTTTAAAATTTTTAAAATAATATTTTAGATTTACAGCTTAAATAAAAAATAATTATAAATATTACTATTAAAAAAATTAAACCAACCAATTTAATAAAAATTCTTAAAAATTACTTTAAAAACTAATAAAATAAAATAAATAAATAAATTGAGAATTTCTTTAAGACCATGTTTTTAATAATTTCAAATCAGAATCGCCAGTTTTAAATAAAAATCATTGGTTTCAGTTTAAAAAATGAGAAATCGGAACCAAATTTTTAAGTGCACGATTTCAATTATGGTTTAGAACCAAAACCGTTGACCATAATTTAATGTCAGTTTTAACCAATTCGGTTTCAATTCGATTCTGATTTGGAACCGAACCATGATCATCCCTATCACTAATGACAGAACAGAACAAAATAGAAAGAAATAGAAAAGAAGCAACCAAAGGGAAAGGCTATAACTGCCCATAATTGGTCCCATGCTTTTGCACCTTCAACTGGTCCCTATCTCAGAAACAATTTGCCCGTTGAGGCCAGACTTAAAAATTGATAGCCAAAATGATTTCACTAGAAGCACGAACTAAAACCTCACAATTGCCTTTCCAAATTCTAAATCAAATCACTGGCCCTACGTGCTCCATGCACCCACAGACCATGACACCCCCATGACTTTTATCAATAAGGTCCACTAGAGCATCATGATCCCTCCTCTCCTCTCCTCTGCTCATAATCAAGCATGCCTTAATCATCACCAATTTACAAAACACATCATTGTTTTCGTCCGAAAATAGAGATGATGAACCCAAAAAAAAAAAAGAGAACCAACTTAAAAATGGAGAAGAAAAACCAAAAAACATAAAAGGGTACTAAATAAATAATGGTCTCCAAATTACATATCATTACAGGTGGTCTAGCAAACAGTCATTGTGCGAAGAATATCAAGCTTTAACACAGCAGTTGAAGTAGCTGAAAATACTTCTCCTTGTCTGTTTAAGAAAATCAATAATGGATATAATTAAGATTTGTATCAGCAGAATTAGTCATATATTATTTTATGTATAGCAACAATAAAATTCTCCTTGTCTGTTTATGAACATTCCCAACAAATAAATTAGCTCGCATCTCTAAATGCTACAGACAGATAGTATGAAAATAATTGATTTCTTTAGTTGGTATATCACCTAAACACTCGAATGTGCTCAACCAATTAGTTAGTTATCCTGTAGTGATACTTTCCAGATAGAAAACCAAATACTTTACAAATTAGGAAAAAAATCCAAAAGATGACCACATATTGAATGGTCCAAAACATCTTTTGCATGTGCAAAACTTGCGATTCCGTATAACCCAGGTATGTAGAAGATCATCCTCACTTCCCTTGGTAGGCATATATCTCTATACCGTAACTAACTTATTAATTAATTTAAATATTTCTGTTGATCCTAGATCTTAAATCTGATGAGACATTACACTAAAATCACATAAGACCATTGTCCGACAACTCGCCGTTCAACAAAGATTATTTTATATTTATCTTTGTAGTTCAAATGCTTGGTCTGGTTGATCTACTACTATTTGAAAAATGTAATAAAATAACTTGTTTGCACTTCCAACAAGAGAAAAACTATATACTTGCTATTCTCCAAGTTCTAAATCTAAACGGCTCTTTAATCTAAAAGTCTAGTGGCATGAATTTACATTCATGCATACACACAAATGTGCATTTATATATAGTGTAAACTATTGATATTATTAAGTCTATTTATACTTTATTCTGCCTCCCCATTATTAGTATAGTATTTCCGTATATTCCTATTCGCCTTGGACACACCACAGAGGACAATTATTTTAATGCAATACATTCACATTATCTAATTAAATATAAGTGATTGTCCTGTGCCAAACTGGCCCTAAAGCATCAAACTGGTCGGCTATCCCAACTTTTCTAGCCTCCCGCTTTGAGTGGGGCTAGTTGGCTAAGCTTTATCTTCCTTTTATTTATTTTTTTTTTCTGGAAGTAAGATTTATATTCTTTATTATGTTATTCTCTTTGGTTGTGACTGTACTGTACTACTAAATATATAATCTTCCAAGCAAGATAAAACTGGTTAAAGAATCTTACATTAGTGGAACTGTGATGGCTTTGCTGGTAATGGTCTTCGTGTTGATGATGATCATCATGAGCAACTTTTGCACTGGTTGCTGTTGGGTTAATGAGGTCTTCTTCATTGCCAAGACTGGCTCTTGACACATCCCTCTTGTTCTGCTTCCTCATTTCTCTAATTTTTGTGAAATCCATGGAATAGTCTGGCAATTCGCCCTTCTGATCCCAATCGCCAAATTGGGGTACTGATAACCATGGTGCATTTTTCTTCACAAGAGATGAATTAATTAGTGTTTAATTACCATAAAAGAATCCACACCGTTTTTCAAGATTGATTGAAACTTGCAAGATATAAAATTTACAATTGATGAAAGCAAAAGGCCATAACTTAAAACTAAATTCGCCTTTCAACTTTCTTTCGTTCAGCATATTATAGTGACAGATTGATTATGATATTCAAAACCATATTCATCCTCTTTGAATAAGCAAGTCAAAAAATGCATATAAAAGCTTATTTGAATAGTATACAAGAAAGCAAATAACATGGAAAGAAAAAAATAATGATTGTGGTTACTATTGAAATTCAGAACTTTTTTTATTTTTTAAAATAGGGAAGAACTTTGACTGTTTCTGATGTTTGACAAACTGAATGATTGTTAGTTTGAATGTTTCTTGATAGGTAAAGTAACTGTTGAGACCAAAAATTACCAAATAACATAAATCATCCTACCAGATCTCAATCACAATTTTATTCCAATCTGTCAAAAGTAGGAGAAAAAGAATCTAAAAACATAAGCTTGAAAACTTTCAGCGTTTGGTTATAAAGAAAACGCGAGAAAATGTAGAGATGAAGAACAGGTAAAGTAAATTATAAAAACTACTTTCCTAATAAACAAATTTCATTCTTGGATTTGCTTAAACCAGAGCAAAAATCCATTCAAAAGCTGAAATCCACTGAAAAAAAAAAACACTTTCCGTTTCCAGAGTTATCTCGAGAAACGAACAAACAAACACTGAGACATACAGACACAAGAGAAAGAGAGAGAAAGTACCTCCTTACGATCCTCCATTAAAGAGCGACAAGAGATCTTCAAAGAAACAGAAAAGCTTTGAAATTTGTTAGAAAACTAGTGTAAGTGATCAAGCTTAGATGGAAAAAAGAAGTGAAGATTGCAGCTTTATAGCAAAATTTGCTTGAGCTTTCTTTATTTCTGTCTCGTTGAATTTATTGTGTGGAGATTTTATGCAGCTCGACAGCTCGATTACAGTAGCTTTCATGGAAACACCTATCTGACACGTACTATTTTTGGACCAATTTGGATTTCTACTTTTCTTCTTTTGCGAAAATGCCATTCACCAACACGCTTTGTTTTTTTTTTTTTTTTTTTTTTTTTTTTTTTATTGCAGCTTTATAGCCAAAAATTTGCGTTGGAGCTTTCTTTCATTTCTGTCTCGTGAATTTATTGTGTGGAGATTTATTGCAGGCTCGACAGCTCGATTACGCTTTAGCTTTCATTTGGACAACACCTACTCTCGCACCACGTACCTATTTTCGTGGGACCATTTGGATTTCTCTACTCTTTCTTCTTTTGCGACAAATGACCACTTCACCAACCACGCTTTGTTTTTTTTTTTTTTTTTTTTGTTTTCTTTTTGGGTTAAAAGAAAAAATTTTTGTCAAAAAATATGTAATGACGTTAATCTCAGCTTTCCTTTAAATTTTTTTTTTTTTTTTTTTTTTGTTTTTTTTTTGGTAAAAGAAAAATTTTGTCAAAATATGTTAATGAGTTAATCTCAGCTTTCCTTAAATTTTTTAATTTATAATTTTTTTATTTATATGTCACAAAATTAAAGTAGTTGTAATTATTTTATTTTAATTTTATCTATTTATAAATATTTATATTAACTTTATTTCAATTGGACGATTATTAATTAAAAAGATAAATTAAACAATCGTACGTTTTTTTTTTCTAAATTGAAACATCAAATCATTTTTTTAATTATTTTAAAAGGTTTTGACCAAATAGAAAGAATTTATTATACTATTTCTATTAAATTTTTATTAAAATATATAAAACATTATAAAGAATACAAGGACGAATTAATTATTTTTAGAAAAAAAATATGAGCTGAAATAATTAATTTTTTAAAATAATATTATGAATATTGACAGGAAAAACATAAAAAAATGACGAAATAGCGTAAAAGATAGAAACAACTAAACATAGAAAAACATTAATATGTTTTAAAATATAAAGCAGATTAATGTATTTCAACAAAATAAAAAGATAAAATAGTAATTTTACTTTTCTTTTTTGGTGTTTGCCACTTTCCATCGAAACACGATAGAGAAATTATTAATTTTCAGGTTCCCTTCGATTCTCGCACACAACTGCAACGCGGTTTGAGGTTACTTTATACACGGTGTCGTATCATATTATTTGCATTTGTCTCTTTTCTTTCTTTAATGCCCTCGGCCCGCTCATTGCTTGGATGGCGAAAACGCTTGCCTACGTCCTAATATAAGAATTCATTTATATATAAAATAACGAAAATTTTGAGAAGATGGTCTCATGTATTAAATCAATTAAAAAAATTTAAATATTATTATCTTGTCCTTTTTTTCGGTGTGTGATAAAAAATATTCTCATCTAAATCAAAACAATATTTCATACACCGTATGTAGATAAATTTTTATTTTTTTTTTTATTTATTTACACGTCAATGGGATGAAATAATATAATATAAATTATACAATAAAGATAACTCTCTCTTTAATTTATTAAATTAATGAGTTCGAATCGAATTTGAAACTTCTCGCTCTTAAATTCATTACTGAAAAAATCAATTAAACTAGATGCGGCAGCATATACAAAATCAATTACTTCTTTGTCATATAAAAGATGTTGACAATATATTATTGTTTTATCATTTTTTTTAACTAATGTAATGAAAGAGACTAAACCCTTATTTTACTTGATGATCGTTTACAGATAAACTTGGATATAGGTAAGAGCAGCCCCACATGCATCACAGTGGGATGAATTGGATGATATTCGTTAATGTCACTGCAGCCCACCAAAATTGGCACCAGTCAAAACTTTAGAAACTGCATAAGTCTACGTATTAACCTTAAAATGCTTCCAGCTTATTTTATTTTTAAAAGAGATTTCTTCTAAAAGTGAAAGAGCAATCTGTTTTGTCTGGAAGTTTGGAGTACGTGAATTACGAGTGTGCCAGGTACATCAGGCATGTCACTGCAAAAATGAAAAATGTGTTAGGATTTATGCACGTATATAGAAAGGTGTTAAGATTAATCCTAGCTGTACATTATTCTGTATATTATAAAAGGTTCAGGCTTTTATATTAGAGGTGATATAATTTGATTCAAATTAATATGGGTCTAAATTATATTATAGCGTATGGGTTTAAATGTATAGATACTCTAAATATAATTTTTGATTTTTTGATGGATGGCCAAAATTAGGGAAGAATGAATATGTGTGTAGATATATTAGGGTATGGTCTCAAAGTTATACGTAGGTTATTTCTAATATTCAATTATTAGAAAATACAGGGTTTTTCTCTTTTTGATCATATGTATCAATGTGAAAGATCAATAACCATAGCACACAGAGATTTCATCAATATCATGGATCCATGTATACTTTTGCACTTAATTTCTTGATGAATCAACAAGATGTATTTTAGCTAGGTAAAATCTAGAATTGTATAATTTGCTAACTGATTTTGTGAACCAAACAATCGCATGTTAATTTCCAACATCAATTTGATGGAAAATGATTCAATTAATTTTCAACAAGCCACGAAAAGTTCTAACTCTCAAAAGTGGATAGATTCATGGATGACGAAATTAAGTCTATGAAAGAAAATGACATACACAAAATTATTTCATTGCCTGAAGGTGTGAAACCCATTGGTTGTAAGTGAGTATTTAACCAAGAAGGGTTCAAAAGATGATAAGGTACAAGGCACATCTTGTTGTTAAAGGCTTTACACAAAAGGAACACATTGATTATAAAGAGACTTTGTTTCGCGTTTGATTGAAAGACTCTTTTTTAATTATAATGGCATTAGTGACATATTTTTTTATCTTGAGTTATACCGGATGAATGTCAAAAACTACGTTTCTCAAGGGCGCCATTGATGGAGACAATTTATATGATGCAAATAGAAAACTATATATTAGGTGATCCAAAATAAATGGTTCGCAAATTTTATCAAGTTATTGTCTCATTTGGTTTTGAGATGAATTTGATTAATGATTGTATGTACCACAAATTCAATGGAATAAACATATTTTCTTGATTTTATATATCAATGACGTATTGTTGCTAGTAATGATGTATGCTTGTTGCACGAAACCAAGAGGTTCATAGCAATGAATTTTGAGATGAAGATTTGGTGATGCAACATTTGTATTAGCAATCCAAATACCTCGAGATCATACTCGATGTATCCTTGGATTATCACAAAGACCTATATCGAAAAGGTTTTGTCCCGCAGGTGAAATTGAAAATTTCTCGGAGTTCTTTAAACTCTTTAGGCCATTTCACCAAAAAGCGCCTTTAATGATTAGTTTTTCCCTTTTTAATGTATAATTCGATTCATTCTCGTGTCCCGCATTCCATTATCCTAGCTAACCTTGCCATCGTAGAACCCTACAAAGAGCTTTGCTCTACCTATCCTCTTTATCTAGGTCGAGATGTCACAGGCCCACCAGCTTCCACTTAGTTCGTCCTCAAACCATACGTTTACTAGAGGGGATTCGACTCTAATACCAATTGTCATGCCCTTACTCCAACCCCAAAGGAATTTTTTGCTTTGGAATCTGCATGGTTTTGTCCTACAAGTAAAATAAGAAACTTCCTAAGAGGTCACTCATCCTAAGATTTCCCCTTAAATAGGCACGCTTAATCTCGAAATTCTTCCAACTCTCCAAGTCATTCCATCAAAAATCACATCTGATGATTAGTTTATCCATTTCCAATGTATGATTCGATTCATTTTCATGTCCTGCAATCCACTATCCTAGTTAGCCTCGTCATCCTAGAAGCCTGCCAAAAGTTTTGCTTTATTTGTCCTCTTCAGACCGTTTAGCCGGTCGAGAAGTCATAAAAAATTTCTTATGCATCAGTAATAGGAAAAATCTAATGCACACTCAAATTTATATGTGTCCAAATATTGTGTACATAGTTCAAGTGTTGGGCAAATATTTAAGTAATCTAGGAATAGATAATTGGAAAGCAGCTAAACGAGTCATACCAATATTTACAGAGAATGAAAATTACGTGCTCACATATAGGAGGTCGAATAAGTTAGAGACCATTAGGTATATGACTTTGCTGGATACCAAGATAGTATGAAATCTATGTCACGTTATATTTGTTTGCTTGTTGGAAGAGTTGTCTCCCGGAAAAGTGCTAAGCAAACACTTATTACTTCTTTCACCGTGGCAATTGAGTTTATAACATGCATTTAAGCACCTAACTATGAACTATGACTGCGAAATTTATCACTAGGCTGCAACTATGGAAGGTATTGAAAGACCATTTACAATATTTTATGACAATAAGTGAACTACAACAACAAAAACATAATTATATACCTTGAAAATCTATAGACGAATAACAAATTAAAGCATATATATGCTATTTTTATATCAATTTTTTTATAATATCTCACTATATATTCATAGATTAGTTGTTTCCGATGTATCTTAGTTGTAGCACTTAAAACATATATAAATAAAATATATATATACAACTGAATTATATTCGATTACTAATTTAACCTCATAATTTTTACAATAAAAAACTTTTCATTTACAATATAAAACGAATAGAAAATCCAAAAAACTAAGAAAACATAACTAGAAAGAAATTAACTAAGTAACAGATATTCAATCATAATACAGAGAATTCAGAGAGAATTATTAATACGTAAAATCTCTCCAATTGAATTCCAGTTATTAAAACTAAAGTATAGGAGAACCAGTGAACTATAGTTAGAAAAAAAAAAAAACCATAAACTTCAAAATTAAATTACACCAATCCTATAAATTGATATATAGGTAATAATTAGATAATAGTACTTAATGGCCTAGACCTACTAATTATACTTTATACGAATTAACCTAAATTAACTCATAAATATTTTTTAAAAAATTATCAAAAAATGTTAATGAAGCCTTACTCTAGAGGTTAAGGTGAAG